TTAATATTGGAAATTTATTATTGAACCGCTGTAGTATCTCATAATCAACCAGTCATAAATGTCCCGCAAACGGACCAATTTTTAATCGCTGTACCAGTCGTACAAATCGCCTAATAACGCTAGAAACCGCAACCACCCACATCCGCAAACGCCCGCAACCGCAACCGCTATCGCTGCGTTGTAACCAGTCGGACCCTAATATTATCGATTTATCCCCCGGCTACTAACCAATAAAAAATTACTACATGTCATATTTTATTTATTAAAAAATATAAATAATATTAGTTGTAAAAAAAATTTTGACATTCTAATACTCTAACACTACACTTGAGTTAACGCTAATCTCTACACTCTAGAGTAAACTTATTTTAAATCTTAGAATGTTATGAATCAATTATTGGATGTGCCATAACTATATTATCTTGGCTCAATCCTTGTAGTCTTTATGACGGTTTAGTATTAGGTGCTGTTTGTTTCACAATCTATCATCTTCATCCAACTAATTCATCTTAGATGATTCATCAAGATGGTTCATCCACGTTTTTGAGATTGTTTGTTTCTCCATCCAGATAGTCCATTCTAGATCGATCATCTAGATGGACTCATGTCTGTTTCTCTGTTTTTCTTCTCCATCTAGATGAGTTTAGTAAAAAAAATACTAAAATACCCTTGTTTTTATTTAGTCATATGTATGATATTAATTTTAAATATATTTTATAATTTTGACGCGAAAATGCGTTTTTGCGGATTGACGGAAAAACGGACTTTTGCGAAAAAACAGAGTTTTGCGGTTTTGGCGAGAAAACATGTTTTGGCGGGAATACGCATTTTTGCGGTTTTAGTTGGAAAATGCGTTTTTGCGGTTATAGCGGGGGAACACATTTTGCGATTTTTGCGGAAAAATGTGTTTTTGCGGGAAAATTTGTTTTTCCGCGAAAACAAGTTTTTGCGATTTTGGCAGAAAAAAAGTATTTTTACAAACTTGGCAGGAAAACACGTTTTTACGGTTTTAGCAAAAAACACGTTTTGGCGGAAAAAAGCGTTTTTGCGGGAAACGCATTTTGCTGTTTTTACGAGAAAACGCGTTTTGGCGGAAAAACGCGTTTTGGCGGAAAAACGCTTTTTTCGGGAAACACATTTTGTGGTTTTTACGAGAAAAGGCATTTTTGCGGGAAAACGCGTTTTTCGGTTTTTACGAGAAAACGCATTTTGCGGTTTTTACGAGAAAACGCGTTTTGCGGAAAATGGATTTTTGCGGTTTTGGTAGGAAAACGTGTGTTTGTGGTTTTGGCGGGAAAACGTGTTTTTCGGTTTTTGAGGGAAAATGCATTTTGGCGGGAAAAACGTGTTTTTGCGGTTTTGGTTAGAAAACGTATTTTTGCAGTTTTGACGGAAAAACGCGCTTTTGTGGGAAAACGCATTTTTGCGGGAAAATGTGTTTTGGCGGAAAAACAAGCTTTTACGGTTTTAGCGAGAAAACACGTTTTTACGGTTTTGGAGGGAAAATGCGTTTTTGCGGTTTTGGCGGGAAACACATTTTTGCGGTCTTAGCTGGGAAAAAATGTTTTTACGGTTTTGGCGGAAAAACCTGTTTTGCGGTTTTGGCAGGAAATCCATTTTTGCGATTTCGGCGAGAAAACACGTTTTTGCAGTTCTGGCGGAAAAACGTGTTTTTACGGTTTTGGCGAAAAAATGCGGTTTTGTCATTTGAGGAACTGTGGTTTTGTCATGTAAGTTACAAAATAATAGTATGTTTAGGTTTGTAATTTTTGAATTATATAAAAGGGTATAATAGACATTATACAATTTTGGAAGAGACATCTCTATCCAGATGGTTCAAATTGGTCTATCCAAATGGACTTCAAAATTAAGCCTAAAATTTCAAAGTCATCCGGATGATGCATCTAGATGAGTTGGACTTTTAGTGTCTAAACAAACGAAACTCTCATCTCCATCTAGATAAGTTACAAAATAATAATATGTTTAGGTTTATAATTTATGAATTATATAAAAGGGTATAATAGACATTATACAATTTTGGAAGAACCATCTCCATCCAGATGGTTCAAATTGGTCCATCCATATGGTTCAAATTGGTCCATCTAGATGGACTTCAAAATTAAGCCTAAAATTTCAAAGTCATCCGAATGATCCATCAAGATGAGTTGTACTTTTAGTGTCTAAACAAACGAAACTCTCATCTCCATCCAGATGAGTCATCTAGATAGTGAAACAAACATGCCCTTAGTCTTTTCCATATTTGTATTGGCTTTGTATTTTCCATTTATCTCCATGTAATTCCCTATATAAAGGATCTTATGTTATGAGTAATATATACACCAATTCATCTATTATCTCATTAGTTTACAACACGTTATCAGTACGAGTTGTTCTCTAACCATAAGCTAAAAATCCGACTAATAAAACCCTAGCCTCCTCGCCGGTGATCAGACCAGCCGCCATCGGCTCTTTCCTTTTCCGGCGAAGCCCTAGCACGCGATTTCCTTTTCTTGGCCAAAAGCCCTAGCCGGATTTCTTTTTCTCGGCGAGGAACCCTAATTCACGATCAAATCCGACCAGCCGCCTTTGGTTCTTTCCTTTTACTCTTCCAAGAACCCTAGCTCACGATCCTCCATCATATCCAACCAAGTTCTTCGACGATCTGTTGCGGAACCCGATCAATATCAACCGCAAGAAGCACTCATCCGATCCCGACCACGATTCTCGACAGCTACGACTTGTCTCAGCCGCGGTTCTCCTTCTCTCTCTTGGTGGTCCGGTTCAAACCCTACAAAACTATGGTATTCCGATTAAACTCTAAAACCTAATGATCAAACCCTAAAACCCTAAAGCCATTCTTATGGCATCTGATCATCTTGTTAAAACCCTAAAATCAATTCCCTAAATATATAAACCCTAATCCGCAAGTATGCAATCCGCATACTATGCAAGAGATTCGATTCCCTAAAATACATTTTAGTTGTTTTAATGTTTGGTTGATCTGAGATATTGAAACCATAATTATGGAATCGAAAACCCTAAAACCTAAACTGATCCGTTTGATCCTTGTTCTTGTTTGTTTGATCTTTTCATGCTCTGAGGTTTAGATTGCTAGATTATTTTACTTATAATTTGTTCCTGAACTGAAACCCTAAAATTCTGGGTTGAAAACCTAAAACCCTAATTGTCTAAACCCTAAATCGAATTTGATTAAATCCGATGGTATATTGTATTGATTGTTTGTCTTTGACTGAATCCGTATTGTTTTCTGCATAAATNCTGAAACCCTAAAATTCTGGGTTGAAAACCTAAAACCCTAATTGTCTAAACCCTAAATCGAATTTGATTAAATCCGATGGTATATTGTATTGATTGTTTGTCTTTGACTGAATCCGTATTGTTTTCTGCATAAATCTGAATAACTGAAACCCAAAAATTATAAATCCTAGGATTGCTAGATCTGAATCAAAACCCTAAACCCTTATCGATTATAAATTAAATCCGATTGATGCTTGAACTTGTATTGTTTAATCTTTTAAGGTTCTGAGATTTAGGTTGTTAGATTTATTAATCTTCTGTCCTGTTTCTGAAACCTAAAACCCTAAAATTCGACTTGAAACCCTAAACCCCCAAATTTCGAATTAATTGAATCTGATTGTTAATTTATTTTGATAAACCCTAAATTTGATTGATTCTATTTGATTGAGAGTTAAGATTGCTAGATTAACTTCTATTAAATTT